AGGCCATCCAATCATTTGCTAAAATGATTGGTCTTGCTTTTTACAGCGCTACGGCTTCCAGAGATAAAAATTGTTATGTATTTATTGTCAAAGCATTTAATATATTCATTGCTATCGGGATGTTAAGAGCATTCCATGGAATATAACAAANGAGCAGAGCCTGTTACCGTGTCCATGTTATTGTTTACATCCAGCCCAGGTTCACAGCATTTAGCTTTCCTTCCTCTCAATTACTGGAATTGGTGTGCGTGTGTGTGCATGTGCATGCGCGTGTGTGTGCGCGCGTGCGTGTGTGTGTGCATGTGTGTGTGTGCATGTGCGTGTGTGTGCATGTGTGTGTGTGTGCGTGTGTGTGTGCATGTGCGTGTGTGTGTGCATGTGCGTGTGTGTGTGCAGCAGTTAAGACAAACATGTCAAGCTTTGTTGGCTCCTACAGAACAGTGAAATCCCCATCAATCTTTCCCCACCGTCACTAAACACAGCAGGAATGAACCGGCGGCTGTTTTTAAGTCAGGCCACATTTCATTAAGTTGTCGGTTGGTTGGATTGATGTTGCCTTCCACAGCTCCTGTGAACTCTGATGAAGAGTGAAAGTGGAATGCTGTCAGGCTGGACTAGCTTTTCTCACTCAGGATGTGTTCAGTGCTGCTCTCCCACTCAGACTCCTTCGTCTGCATTTTCTTGTTCTCAGTCCAAGGCCAAAAATAAAGATGGAAGTCTGGCCTTTCCCTTCGCTGCAATATCCGCTCTCATTGTTATTACTTGCCAACTCATGCTAAGCTTTGCTGACAGTCATCATGGATTCTAATCCACTTCTACATTTTGATGCCTGAGCTCAAGTCATTTCCTCAGTGAGCCAACTTTGAAAACTTTGTGTCTGCTCTGATTTCAAGAACATACAGAGAGGCTTAATGTGAGCCGCTAGGGCTTGGAAATGGCATTCTCTCAGCCAACAGTCGAACACACCATGCTGCAATCACTAACATGACTTCATATTCCTTGTATATATAGCATATCCGTGTTAGAATAGACACTTAATAAACAGGGTTGCACATTTCAATAATTACGGCTGATCTTGTTATATCAGGCCGTTTGTCATGGTGTGTAGGTTTCTCCACATTTGATTTCGTAACAGTGACTTTTTTGACTGGTTGGTGGACTTGAATGGCACAGAGGTTAGTTTAGGTAAAGCCCTTTGCTCATACGTGTGGTACGGAGATTAATATACATTGCAAACAACTTTGGCAGAGCTGTATTAAAAACATCTGCGGCAAGTTCAAGTTGAAGCTGGAAGGGTTGAAGCTAGTCTTGAATCCAAGCAAAGTCTCATTCAATGAAGAATTGTCCAGGTAAAGTCACACATTTATGAGGTGAGATGTAGGTGCTATTAAGTGACACACTTTTACATTTTGATCAATGAAAACTGAATAAATATAGTTTTGCTTATTTTTGTTGATGCACGGATGTCTCTGAATACAATAACAAGTAAGAAATGTTTTAATTCAAATCTCAAGTAGTGCCATGTTGTAACGTAGTCAAGTCTCTCAGAGTTTGTGATGTGTGTATATAAGTCACTCTGAATGGAGCTGAGCTCACAGTTTCCCTCTGCCTCCTGTCTGTGTGCTAACTGCTAACTGCTAAATGCTATCCTAAACACACCTCGGACCTAATCGTGTAAACAACGCACATATATGCAACATGTATCAATGTTCTCATCGGGAAGGGAAAGTACATTACGAATGGTTTACTGTTGATAACACAAATGGTCCCCACCTGCTGGAGGCTGCGTTTGGCCTGCAGGGCGGACCCCAGCTTCTCCTCCTGTTTCACCCTCATCTTCACGATCTCGTGCAGGAACTTCTCCTTGGACTCTTTGGAGTCCAGTCCGCTGTCCAGCGCCTGCCTCAGACTCTCCAGCTCCGACTCTAGCCCCCCCTCTGAGGGGGCCACGGGGGCTGCAGCGGGTGTGGGAGGGGGGCCCTCAGCCGACGTGACGGTGCAGAAGGGCCCCAGGGCCCCCGGCGAGCTCAGGTCCTTGGTTGAGCTGCTGGACGAGGTGAAGGATGGTGACGACAGGGAGGACAGGGAGGATGTGACTGTGGGGAGAGACCAGGACAAGGGGGTGAGGTTTGTGTAAAATACTCTGGTGGAAACTAAGTTTACAGGTGTATCAGCCCCGTATAACACATTCTACCTCTGCGCCAGGGTTTCAGTTAGCCGGTAATTACCGGTTTTTAGCTGGTAAGATTTAATAAAAACCGGTAAATTCAAAACCTGCCGGTCAAAATGTCCGATGCCCCGATGGATTGGCCGCCGATCATTATCGGCCGATATTCACTCTTAATAGTTTGAGCTGTGCTCTCTAGAAAGGCCGATCAGGAGAGCTGGATCTGATCGATATGGACATAAACGCGAGTGAAGTGTAACCGGACGAGAGAGAGATCAGATCAGCTGCTGCATAATCACCTGAAGCCCCGCCCACTGTTTGGCGCGCTGCATGAGAAACTGACGGGCTGCTGACAGCCCGTCAGTTTCTCATGCAGCGCGCCAAACAGTGGGCGGGGCTTCAGGTGATTATGCAGCAGCTGATCTGATCTCTCTCTCGTCCGGTTACACTTCANTTTCTCCTCTCCTTTTGTAAAGGGAGGTACAGTGGTTCCTAAGCTAAAGGAGGCTATAAAGGAAGTTTGAAACCTCCTTTCCTATCATCTAGAGAATTTGAGCGGCTCTTATCATGGCTGCCACTGAGGTACTTCCGGGCTAAATGGACTATTCGACTGCAGCCCTGGTCTCTGATCCATCCATTAAACGTCCCTCGCATGTGTAAATGAAAAATGTAAACATCAAGTTATTTACTGCATAATTGTGTACTGCAGAGGCATTAGAGTAACAACACACATAGAACCTTTCAGAAATATCAACACGAGCAGAAATGGTTTCGCTAGGTACATTTTTTAAAGATATTGTTTACTATAATATTTTCAAAAAATGCTCTTCATGTGTTTAGACAAACATCACTAGTCTGCAGACAGAGGAAGTGTTCTGAAGCAGAGTTTCAAAAGAGCGTCTCAACCGAGAAGTCTGTTATCACCCCACCCATCCTGTCTCTGCCACACACACACACACACACACACACACACACACACACACACACACACACACACACACACACACACACACACACACACACACACACACACACACACACACACACACACACACACACACACACACACACACACACACACACACACACACACACACACACACACCCACATCCACTCGCCCAGACACGTGCTCACCCTCTATGGCCCCCCCTGTGGCCCCCCTCTGGCAGCTGAGACGGGGCTGCCACTCTCACTATTTCCACACATGCTTCCCCATGACTTGAGGCTTTGTGAGTTTCTCATGCAGTGGCTATTCCAAGCTACCATGTGTAAAGTAAGGGACTGTAAATTAGCATTTCACAGATATGTGCTTCAAACATCCAATATTGACATTTTGTGTCATTTCTTGGCCAATATCCTTCCTAAAAAAACTAGCTTTTAGAGCACAAAGCACTGGGACTCCTTGGAATCATGAATGATGATAATGAAGTGATATCTAACTTTTAATAAAACGCTAACGTCATCGCCCTGATACCAGGGTAATGCTCCATATTACGAGGTGTCATACTCTCACTGTGAGGTGTGTGAGCTGCTGTCTAAGCACGTCTAACACACACCTCTGCTAATCTGAAAGCCTTATTTTAGAAGTGTGACATCCTGTCTATGCTGTGTAATCCACACCGGATCATAAAGGGGATGGGCTGCAAAGTGCACGGGTATATGCACACACTCACATTATTGTGTGTGTCTCTGAAGGTTAGCCCTGCGCTATCATTTGCAGCTGTAAATCGCATGCTTATCAGCAGAGCAGTGTAAAGGTTCTCATTCACCTCCAGTCAGGGTCTGAGTGTGTGTGTCTGAACGTGTGTGTATCAGCGCAGGGTTTCTCATGTTTTCTTCTCACACACCCTCCGCCACAGAGCCCCATTTGTTAATTTGTTATCCGAGGGACCCTCTTAGGAATATATCACTAATGGTATCATTTCACATGAATCAAATTAAATGTAAATGACTCCTCACTTTTGCTCTGGAAACAGCCCAAAGCCTCTGACATCACCAAGCCGCCTTCTGAAACAGGAACTCCCACCCGGCTGTCTGTGCTCCGTGCCACACAGTCCCACTGTTCAGTAATCTAGACATGCAGATTTCTCCCTCCACTCCCCCCCCACCGGTGGCCCCATAAGCTCCGCTGCCAATTGTTGACCCCCGACGCTCTCCTCCGTCCAAGATTACCGGGCCGGATCTCGCCCTGATGGAAAGCTGTTGGCAACCGGTAATCCACGAGACGAGGACTGGCACGTGGCACAGGGACTTTGCCCAGAGGCTGTGTGTGTGTGTGTGTGTGTGTGTGTGTGTGTGTGTGTGTGTGTGTGTGTGTGTGTGTGTGTGTGTGTGTGTGTGTGTGTGTGTGTGTGTGTGGCAGCTAGTGACAGCCACAGCTTGGAGAGACTGAGGTCATAGCCACGAAGCCTAACAGAGGAAGAGAAACAAACCCCTGCTTGTTTTTTTTCTGTATGGGTGTATCTGTGTGTGACAGACAGACACACACACACACACACACACACACACACACACACACACACACACACACACACACACACACACACACACTGCCCCAGTTACCTCCTCTCTTGGCTGCCCATGAGCAAACACACCGAGCTGTATTGGATTGTGTGTGACAGAGTCAACACCACACCTACATTTAAACACACTTCCAGCTATCAGACACCTCCACTGGCACTCGCGCATACACACCCACACACACACTCTTATTTGTCTGTCTGACACTATTGGGTGCACTCTCAGTTCACTGACATTATAGTGTGACAGCTCTTAGCCAGCTGCCAACCTGTGCAGTCACATCACGAGGGAGCAGCAATCCACCCAGCGCACATGTGTGAGTCCTTTTCAAGCAGCACGGATCCTGTTTATATCTTTAAATGTGTCTGTTCATAGGTATATACATATTTTTATATATCTTTGTTATTGTATTCGGGATTGTGGAAACGGTATTTTTTTATGTGACCAAAAGTTTTTTCTTTTTATTCTCAGAATTCAAAATGTTATATCAGATTTATTTTCATTCTGATAAGAAAATAATGTTTCTCTCTTTCTCTTTTTTGTTGAAAATCTCAGAACTCTGACTTTAATCTCAGAAAAGTAACAACTCCAATTTTGGTTGTACTTTTGGTCACGTCCCAAAGATCTTTCCTCATGTAGCCCCTAATCCTCTTCCATATTACACGAGCCCATTGTGTCTTTGTAAAAAATACTGCCTAAGTGAAATACAGCTAGATCAAATTATTTAAAACTTAAATCAAATGTCTTTCTGTTCCTCCAGGCATCTGACCCCGTCCCTATCAAACGGTCCAAACATGAAGATTTCCCCTCGCCGGCCCTGCAGTCGGACAAAGAGAAGCAGCACGACTGGCTCCAGTCCCTGTCCGCCGCCAATAAGGTCCGTGTTGCTGAGCTCAGGGGGGAGATGTTGGTGGTGACGCATGAGATGAGATGTGGTGTAATATTATAGGCTACAGAAGTTTTCGGATGAGGGTAGCGCTTAAATTTAGATTTGGCACACGGTGCTCACAGAGGGGGTAACTGTAGCCGCCATGAGCCCCCCAGATTCACTTACTGAGAGGCAGCGCAGTGTAACACAATACAACCACAAAAATAATGATGAATGTCCCCTGTGAAGATCAATATTCCCAAAAAATCCACTGTGAGGATACAGTTAGAATGTCTTCAACAATTCATTGGTTGCACAATTTCTTACAATTACACATTCACATTCAAAGGACTGAGTACAGCTGATCACATTGACTGCAAGCTATAGCACTGATAAATATATCACACAGAGAAATAATACAGTCTAAAGTTGCAGAGAATTGGATTCCTAGAACCAGTGTATTCCGTCCTCAAACTTGTTGTCAGGCCAGCTACAATAAGCCTGTGTATCAAACATAAATGCTATGTTTCCGTAAGTGTGTCCTTAGCATATCAAAATGTCTAGCACTGCTCGTCAGCATTGAAAAAATGTCCTCCAAATGCAACAGTATTTTTTGGTAGTCACTTTTGTTACTTGTAGAATAACGGGTTTATGTTTGTCTTTTTTCAGGGGCTTAACTGCATCCAGCCCAGACAGAGACCCTCAGCTTTCAGACCCTGGTCCCCCCACATCTCTGCTGGAGAGAAGGAGCCCTCCAGTCACCCCCTGGCCCTGCTGAGAGACAGGTGAGGCAGCACAGCACCAACACACCTCACTCACATGACAGAAGAACATGACAGCAATAGGGTGCTTCAGAGAGGAAATACTTTTGAAGTTAGCATTGCGCTGGTTCCCTCGACAAGAAGCCAATGTGTTTTTTGTATTGGATTCCTGCAGAAGATACACACCGTGGACACAAGCGCCAGAATCAGAGGCTAACTTTTGGCTAAAACAAACTAAACCATTGTTTACTGTAACGTCACCACCACTAGGCTTTATGTGGCAGAACACAATCTGTTTACCACAGACCTTTAGAAATATAGTCCATTAAAACTCATCCCTGCAGAACTAATATCTAGACTTTAAGGAGCTCTTACTGCAGCAGAGTTCGGCCATTTTGTTGGGTTGGTTCTGATGAGCTGCTCTCGCTTGTCTGGGTGGGCTGGTGTCAGAGGGTCAAGTCTGACTCCACCACAGCCTCCCACACTCCTCCACTTACACACATTTGACACACACTCACACTTTGGGCACCCACTTGGCATGGCGCTGCCAGAGCAGGCTGCACCATATCACAGAGCCCAGTTTCTCCTAAAGTGGGAGGAGAGAGCTGCAGGCACTTAGCTGAACGCTTCAATCTGACCATGCAGTATGCTACTGTGTTTGCATGCATGCACAACTCAGCTCCTGGTTATGAAGAAACCTTTAACGCTTTGTACATACATTTGAGCTGCACAATTACTGTAATCACAATCTTATTGAAATTGCATTTTGGACTTGTGCAATATTCAAATCTCAGGAGGCACAATAGTTGGAAAATATAATTTTTAAATAAATATTGTTGATTTGCAGAGATGTCCCAGCCTTCAAATGAATACTTAATAGAACATATTTGTTGAATACAGATCCTCTTATATAATCCCACTCTGATCATTTACTATATTTTTCAATGGTAATGAAATGTATGATTCAATCATTTTCAAAACCTCCAATCATATCACAATTTCTAAATATTGCAATTGTTTACTTTTTCCTAATGGTGCAGCCCTAAATTAAATCTAAATTGTCTTTTTTCTCTTTTCTCAAAGCTTCTACAACTACAAGAGTATAGAGAAAGCGGTGGCCCCCAATGTGGCCCTCACACCGCTGCCCCTGGGGAAGGTAGGTCCAATGTCCCTGTCGGTACCCAGCACCTCCCACCCGAGCGGAAGTGAGCCCCCGGGCGAGGGCGCCAGCTCCAGGCCCCGCAAGAGAAGAGCCACAGAGGAGCTCCAGCCCCCAGAGCCGGAGCCCCCCTGCCCCCCACCCGCAGCCGCCAGCAAGCCGCCGCTGCCCCCCACTCAGGACGACAAGGAATCTGAGGTGGAGATCGAAGTGGAGAGCCGCGATGAATGTAAGCAAACAACTTAAGAAACTAGAAATGTTCAGGTTCAAATAATGTACTGTCATATGCACAGCTGCAGTGTAAATATGCAATGACCATCCCAGGATTCTGCAACAATGCAACATCAATATACTGTATAAGACATAAACCAATACAAATAGTGCAAGAAGAAACTGAAGAGAAATAAAATAGTGCAAGATAATGTTGCAAGAATAATTAGCAAGTAATGCAGGAGAATTTAACTACATACAAGTCAAATAAGATGAGCTTTAAATAGAATGTAAACTGTAATGCTGTACGGTGAAATAATAGTGCTTATTGTTATAATAGATAAATACGTGAGATGCAAACAGATGAATGATATGATGTGAAGGTGCAGACTCGCAGGGTTTCTGCTAGGATTTTTTCTCGCCGGTCAAACGTCCGGACGGAATTTATTTTACCGGACACATTTGAAACTTACCGGTCATGTTTCAATAATAATAATAATAAGAATTGTGTAGCAGAGTTTCCGTTAGCAGGTAATTACCGGATTAGGACCGGATATGCTGATGTTTAAAACTCAGTTAATGGGAGTCATTTTTATATTGCTTCAGTTATAATCGGAACAGATCGAAAAATTCAGATTCATTTTTCAATAAATGATTCCACAAACAACAAACAACATAATTATTACATTCAAAGAAACTACTTGTAGTAGATGAAGTACATTATTCAAAAGTTTAAATTAACTTTGAATAACACGGGAGAAACGGATCCTCTCTTTTCCTCTCTGCCTCTCTCTCCTGACAGCCCGTCAGTTTCTCATGCAGCGCGCCAAACAGTGGGCGGGGCTTCAGGTGATTATGCAGCAGCTGATTTGATCTCTCTCTCGTCCGGTTACACTTCACTCGCGTTTATGTCCATATCGATCAGATCCAGCTCTCCTGATCGGCCTTTATAGAGAGCACAGCTCAAACTATTAAGAGTGAATATCGGCCGATAATGACCGGCGGGGCTCCCCCCCGTTGATAGTTCTGTTTTTTGTTGTTTATACTTTGTTCTTTGTCATGTGTGATAGTACGAAACTTATCTAATTAGTACGTTTGAGTCGGATAATTATTTAATAGAGTAGTATATTTTGGTTCACTGTTTTCGTTTTGTTTGTCGTCTTTTTGGTTTGACTTGTTCTAATCGTTGTCATTATGTCATTACACACTTTACTCTTCCGGATTTCACATCTGGTATAAATCCAGCTCTACCCAATTATTTATATACTTTGTAAAACGTGAGTAGTTATCTTAGTAATAGGGGACACGTTTAGTCCTGGACGTCGTCGGTGCGATTGAGTCTGGGGTCGGCTTCTCAACTCCGATAGCGAATTAGTTTGTTTTGTCGTAGTGATTTCGATTCCATTTCTTATTGGAGTGTCTGTGGTGGGGGGTGTGTGTGTGTGTGTCTGCTGTTTTTGGAGGTCCGTAATCGTTTGCAGAAAACGATCAGAACATGAGTTAGTGTAGAAAGGAGATGTATTCTATTACCAGCTATCAATAAAACAAGGATTAAGAAAGATTAGTCACAATCTCCACATTTAGACTCAGTCTGTTTGTCTACAATCATGTAAGATGAGTCCTTACGAACTAATAGAGATATCAAATTCTGACGGCCATTGGGGATTGTTTCGTGTCCTGGAATATCAATTTGTCGATACTTATATGTTTTATTATGTTATTTTATTTCTATCATATTATAATTTATATGGATTATAAAAAACTATTGGAAAAAAGTCCTTGGCTATGTTTTAGTCTCTTGCTCTCTCAGGACGTCCTTTGTTTTGTTACTTTAGTTGGTTCTGTTTACATCTCCTCATAAAGGTAGGTTTCGCACGTATTGTTTATAGTAGGATTAGAACAATTACTTTAATATGTCCAATTAGTAATAAGTGTTTAAAAGACTTGTATTAATAAATAGATAGGAATTTTTGTAATTATGTCTGTATATATGTTATAGATTTCGTTTTATTCTTATTTATCAACATCCAGATCAACGTACACCAGAATACATAACAGAAAATTACGTGTTGACTTTTGTTTTGTTTTGTTTTTAATGTATTATAAAGAGTCCCAAGGAAATCGTCTTTAATGGCAAAATAGACATTTATTTTTTTTTATAAATTATTTTTGGCCATTTAGTTTTGGACGG